TTCTCGGTATCTATGAGTCTGATGTTTGGGGTTGTTAGGTTTTTGTTTTCTTTAATTTAACCCAGCACTGTGATCACACAGTTGAGCCTGATTATACCAATCATGGTGCTTAGAACCCAGGGCTCCATCTGAATACTGGGTTTCTCCTGAAGATACTCCTGAGACCTTTGTGTGTATTAACACCCTCGAGAGGGGATACAATATAACACAACAATATACCAAGGGCTGAGGAAGACATGGACAGTGGGCACCCCGGGCAGCCACAGTGCCCAGTGATTCCTAGTGACAGCGACCAGGGAGAGCTCTTCCCTCAACTAGTTACACCCCTGTGACCATTCAGTCTAGGCTGAATATAATAACAAATTCCATTCACATCCTATTTCATCAAGTTCTCATTTTTTAAATTCAGCTGACGTCAAACTTGAGTGTGCACCAGCATCTTCTGGAGGGTTTGTGAAGCCTGGACCACGCCCCCAGGGTTTCTGACTGACCAGGTCAGGCTGGGATGGGGCCAGAAATTTGCATTTGTTACACCCTGGCTGCAGCGGCTGCTGGCCCAGGAAGTGCACTTTGAGAATTGCTAGTGAACTCACTCCTCAAAAACTGTGCAAGAGCTGCTCTGTGCCAGGCTATTAAACTTTGGAGGTTACAAATCTCTGCCCTCAGGGGGGCTTGCCCACTAGTGAGGGAAACAAATAAAGAGAAAGTAGCCCTTTATCTGCAGGGCATACGTTCTAAGACCCCCAGTGGATGCCTGAAACCATTGTTGGTACCAAATCCTATATATACTATGTTTTTTTTCTACACATACATACACACATACCTATGATAGCTTAATTTGTAAATTAGGCACAGTAAGAGATAAGCAGCCATAACGATTGATAAAATAGAATGATGATAATAGTATCCTGTAATAAAAGTTATGTGAATGCAGTCCCTCCCCCTCTCAAAATATCTTATTGACTGTACTCACCCTTCCTGTGACAATGTGAGATGATCAAATGCCTGCATGATGCAACGAAGTGACGGGTGA